AAAAAAAAAAAAAAAAAAACAATTTCCCGAAAACGAGCACGTTTTCTGATATCCGAAATAATAAACGTTCCGACGATTTACTAGCTCGGTTCACAGAGATCAAAAATGGCGTCCTCCCCCCCAACGGTGCTACGGGGGAAGAAATTGCTTTTTGTCGAATGTACCTTCGACTTCTGGAAATGAGCTGCCTTGCGTTCTAGAATTTCGTTCTAGAAATATATTTTGAATTTTCCGCACGTCACGGCGGATCTTCTAGAAACGTATTGAATTGATCTGCTACGATGTGAGAATGGATCTATTGCAGTACAAAAATATATATTGTAATTTCTTCTGGCAAAATATTGATTGCTCGAAATATACACTGATCAACTTCATTGGTTGAAACATAGAGGAATGACAATTATAAATATCATTCTTTTAAAATCTGTCTCGAAATTCGTGAATGTCTATACTACTATTTTTATAATAAATAAATTCATCAAAATATGTAAGCTCCTTGTTTTTTAACTTTCATTAATAACTTTCATTAATATTATATAATTTTATTAAGAAAAATCGTACAACAATTAGTCTGGGCTCACTTGAAAGCTTAAAGTTTATACTCTTAGAATGTACTATTCATTTTTATGTAGAAACATTGAAAAATATTTTTCACGACTAAAAATCCTCTAAAACGACTTCCTACAATTTGATATATGATTTTGATAATTTATTGAACTTTGAATATCAGACGAAAATATTACAATTTTTTAATTTTCGTGCCTAACTTGATATTCAACATTGAATAAAGTAGCAGAAAGTACGTCACAGTCTACTGTTGGAGGATTTGTTAACAATTTAAATATTTAGCGTCCGGATATCAATGACGTACTAGTGACTTTGTATAAAATTCAAGGAGTTGCTCAAATGTTTGTAATGTACCCCGAAAAAAATTTCACAAACAACATTAACGCTGTTAGCAGAGAGAATTTTGAAGAACAAGCATACACTACATCGAAGTATTTGTTTCAAGTCGATGTCTCGACACG